TAAGGAGTGCTACGGGGCCACTGTCACCACCACAGAAGGGGCGTGTGTGGGCGCGAAGGTCTGGGCTCACCCCCCTCACCTTGGAAGTCCCTCAGCCTCATGGCGCGGGCCTCAACCATTTTCCTCTCTTCTTCGGCCTCACTGAAGGGCCCCTCCTCCTCGTCTGGACAGCTGCGGGGAGAGGGGACAGAGGAGTGACAATGCCTTATGGGCTGGCTGGCCTCCAAAATGGATACTAAGTTTGTCTCCATTACCGACTGAGAGTGTCTCATTTTGTGATAGATTTAGCTTGTTCATGGTAGCCACGAGTTTTAAATGCCTGCTCACCACCTAGAGGAGGAGATTGGGGATAGTTCATTTCTTGGGGACCTGCTGGCTACAGGAGACTGCAAGCCTAGCAGAGCTGAAGTTGAAGGTGGCAAAAGCTCCAAGCTAAAGGCTTTGGGAAGCTTCTGGGCAGAGAGGGAGCGGCAGTCTGGCTGGGCATGGGGCCTGGTCCCCCTCGCCGTCTGTCAGATAGACAGGGAGCCGGATGTGACGCAGAACCACAGGGCTGAGGTCCTGAGGGGTCCTTTGGCCCGAGGGGGAAGGACAGGACACCATGACCTGCCCTAACAGATCTGGCTCTAGATGGGGCAGATGGGGACAGCCATGTGTCAGGTGGAGTGTCCCACCGCTATAGAAGGTTAGAGTTGCCTAGCCTCAGGTCCCCTGGCCAGAGACGCTGAGACCTTTTTAGTATCTGATAAGGTGAGCCTTTGTCAGATGGAGCTGGAAAGGAGCCACCTGTCCCCTTTAGATGAAGGATGGATAAAGCACCAAGGTGGAACAAGGGGAAGGAAAGGCAAAGGGGTCTCCTGTCTGCCTGCGGTCTCCAGCTCTCTCAGGCACTTTAAGGTCACAGCCAACTCGTCAACCAACAAAGCCAAGGGCAAAATGGCCAGTGGAGTGGACATAGGCCCGCATACCTCTCGACCGCCCTTCGGATGTGGGCCATCCAGGCGTTTCTCTCCTCCTTGGAGCTGGTGTGCATCTCGTACATCTCGGGTCCCTGCAGGGAGGCGCTGATCAGGAACATGGCTTTCTCCTCGTTGGCCACTTCCCTCACGATGAGTTTTTGTAATGAGATGATGGGGCGCTTTGAGTCCTGCACAGGTGGAAGATGGCGAGGAGGGGAGGGTCACCTGCAGGGCACCCCACTTATTTTCAAACGATTCAAAGCAGAAACATTTTACCATCTGGGGAAAACAGACAGTACTGCCATGACATCTTCGTATCTTTTAACGTGTCTGTTGAATGTGCTTATTAACTAAATGTGTTTTATAATCAGTAAAACACACATACAGTACAAAACTCAAAACAAAAACAAAGAGTACATAGCATATAACAACAAATAAACCTTCCTCCTGACCCTGTGCCCCAAACACCAACCAGTACTCCCGGCCTGGGTGTCCTGCAATGCTCTGATGGCCAGTGAAATGTACGTTTTTAACTCGTTGTTATGGGCTGAGTTATGTCCACCCCAAATTCCTATGTTGAAGCCCTCACCTCCAAGACCTCAGAATGTGACTGTATTTGGAGACTGGGCCTTTACAGAGGTGAATAAGGTAAAATGAAGTCATCAGGGTGGGCCCTGATCCAACACAACCAGTGTCTCTATAAGATTTCAGGACACAGACACACACACAGAGACAGCCGTGTGAACACCCAGGGAGCAGATGGCCTTGCAGATTATCACACTGCATCATCCTCGGGTGAGGGAACAGACGGTACACTTGGGTGGTACACCTGAGTGTGCCAGGGTCAAAGCGAGACCGTTTGACAATGTGGCCCGACCCTGTGTGTGGTGCTGGGGAAGCTCCTGAGAAGCTGCTCCTTTAAATCTCTAGGGAAGGCACATGATCCCTAGTTTAGTCACAGAGGCCGCCTTCCTCGCCAGGTGAAGCTGGAAGCAAACTGGTTCTATGAGCCTCTCAGGGGCAGGTGCCCCTGGGGGGAGGGCCTGACACTCTCTCCCTGAAGTGAGCTCTGTGCTGTCAGACGCTGAAGGACCTAGGAAGCCAGGTCTTGGGTGGACACGGCCAGGAGGGATGACTGGCACCCCAGCTTGACTCCAAGTTCACTGGCCGCACAGAGTGCACTACAGGCTTGGCTTCCACGACAAGGGTGTTCTGCGACCGGTGTGCTATGGGGTGGACATCGTCACAGCACACAGGGACACAGGATGGCGACTGTCTGAGCTTGCGTCCTCAGTGACAAGCTGGTAAGTCCCTGTGAAGGATGGAGGGCCTCTCCTGGCAAGGACGCTGGGGCCTGTGAGGACCTGAGTGCTTGTGACAGAAAGAACCACAGAAAAGCAGAGGGAGGCTGAAACTGGAGGGGGTGTTAGCCTAGACAGGCAACTAGACAGGACGCCTGTTCTTGGAAAATTCTACTGTGGCCTTTCTGGAACCTTCTGGCCCTTGGGAAGACCCGGGCAATGGCGTAACTTACAGATGTGCTTTCCTAGCCACCCTGCTCTGTGCTGGTCCCGTCTTGTCATCGATGCATCCCCCAGGCCACCCCTTCCACCCAGCTACCTTCTGCACAGGCAGTGGCCCTTCGTGGGAAGAGAGGGACACATACCACAGAAGCAAAGACGTATTTCTGATCCTTTTCTTGTAGCAGCAAAAGCACGTCAGTCAACAGGACAGCAAGGACATCTGAGGAAAGAGTACAGGAGGAAGCGCATGGGGTGACATGGCCGCGAGGGTCCCGCCGGGCAGATGCCTTCGGCACCACGGGAGGGACACCCAGCCACTCTCGGCCGGCACCACGAGGCTACCACGTGCGCCTGAGGGTCTCCCGCCACCTCTCCGGGTTTCAACATTTAACACCCGCTACCAAGCTCCTCTCGGAAGTCCCTCAGCACTTCCTGCTCCCCCGCCAGGCCACTGTGCCCGACGACGTCCCCCTGCTGTAACGGTGCCGGCTGGGTCTGGTCTTTGGGAATCTCTCGGTGCGATCTTGCCCCACTTCCGTTCTTCCCGCCCCCAGGTCACCTGGGACCTGAGCCACTGATCCTGCCTCCTCCTGGAGTGAGGCGCTCGCCCCCTTGTGCCCCAGCTTCCTGGCGGCAGCAGATGGGGTGGGGGTGGGGGGGCTTGTCTCTGCAGGAACACCTCACGGCCACCGGCGTGGTGGAGCTTTGCACTTGGGTGCAAATCCTGAACTGCATCTCCTACAAGAGCGCTCATGTCCTGGGAAGCGTGACGCTGCCTTTCCCGGGAGCTTCCCGGGACCTCGTCTCAACCACGTGCCCTCTCCTGCAGCCTGCTGGCTTCCTGAAAGCATTTCCTATGCTTTTCACTGCTTTTCTGTTCACTGGTTTCACTCTCCAGGCCCGCTGCCTGGGATTCTGGCACATGGGAGGCACTAAACTGCATCTGCTGGATGCACGCCACACGCAGAACATGACCAAACGCGTTCTGTCATTTCGCCACCTGAAGACTTGGCTATTCCCCTAAAGATCTTTAAAGATGCCGAGGCCAGTGGACAGGCCAGCACGTTCTCGAAGCTCACGAAACGGACAGGAAACTTGGGGATGGGTCCTGAGTGCTCGCTGGTTTGGACCACAGCACAGACTTTGAAAGCTGGACTTGGAGCAATCCCCGAACAGTGACTGGGATGATCGGGGACACGGAGGCTGGCAGTCCAGGTGGCGTTTTCTACCCACACCGGACCTGTCGGTGGGTGGGCCCACTGCAGGTGCCCGTTACGGCTCATTTGGAAACTCGGAGCCTCATGACGCTTTGAGTTTCTGTTCAGAAGTCAATGGCTCCCATGCCTTCTGCAGGCAGGGCCCCTCGCAGACTGCAGGAAGAAGGTGCTGGCCTGACGCACTCCTACTGCACTCCTGGCTGCCTGTGCTCATCCCGACACAGCCCCCTCCCTTCAGCCATGAAGCAGCCGGGCCGCCGTGGCTCTGTGCCAGCCGGCACCCGCCAACCCAAAATGGTGCCCACTGACCCAGAAGGCACCCGCCACTTCGAACAGTGCCGCTGATCCAAGATGGCACCGCCCGGAGGGGGCTGAGGGCCGGGCTCTACCTTTCCAGCGCCCGGACGTGGTCTTCCAGCACAGCATGCCCTCCAGGCGCAGCTGCCGCCGCAGCATGTCCTCCTTGCGGAAGGTCAGCCCGTTCTTGAGCTTGCTGGAGGACTTCAGGTCCATCTTCCCCGCAATCTCCCTGAGGCGCTGGCCTTTCTCACACTCGCTGACCTTGGCGTCCACTTGTGAGATGATGTCTTTTATGAGGCTGAGGGCCTGGGTCAGGTCTTCGTAGTCCTCGGAACCAGCTGCCACACAGCAGAGTTAGAACCTTTTTTTGGTCCGTGTTCATGGACATGACAGGGGTGAACACACTAGAGGGACACGCCTGAGAGGTGCGTTCCCTGAGGCCACTGCTCAGAGGACCCTCAAGAATAGCCTTCCAACTCAAATCTCCCAAGACATAAATGCGTCTCTAAAATAAATCCAACAGCCCAGCGTTTGGTTTTTACCAAGACGGAGCTTCTGTTGAATGCAGAAGCTAAGGTACAATTCAAGTGACAAAAATGGCCCTGCAGAGCTGTGGTGGCCGCTCCTTGGTACATGGAATCCCTGTGCCCTCCAGCTCTTCATAGGACTCCCTCTACCTCCTGTCACTGCCAGGAGCTGGCTCCTCCCGCTCCAGGGATGTGGCCTTCGTGGCGGGGGAACTTGCTCATTCTCCCAGGGCCCGAATCCCCTGGAGATTGAGGAGGGTGTGGTCAGCACGGCCCTGGCTGCTGGGAGCTCCCAGCTGGGCTTCGTGCCCTCTCTTCTCTGCCCTCCATGCTGCAGGCAAGTCCCTCTCATGGCCCTGGTCGTGGACACAGGAGTCATCTCTTTGCTTGTCTGGATCACTCAGGAGTGACCTTAACAAGACAACTTTCTCCATCACTCATTCACTCCCCAGACGCTGACCAAGGGCCCGCTATGGCCCAGCCTGTGGCAGGGGCTGGGGTGGCAGAAGCCAAACGAGACCCAGTACCTGCCTTTCCTAGCACCTAGCACAGGATTCTGCACGGTGGCAGCTCAGTTAATGATCGCCGAGCCCAGCTGAATCCAGAGAATCAGGGACAATCTCAGAGGGGCACTTATCCAATCCACTGTTAAAATAGGGGGCAGGGAGACAGAGACCACCCCCGAAGCACCACAGGGCAAGACGGGGAGGCGGCGACTGTACCTTCCGTGTTCTGAATGATGCGCTCCACCAGCACTGGGTACTTGGTTATGCGCTGAGTGACCAGGAGAATACACTCCTGCACGCCAAGCCGCCTCACGATGGAAAAGTTGCCGATTTTCTATGAAATGGAGAACAAAACCACGCTGGACTGACGTCTTATGTGCTGCCAAATCAGTGAATTTAATTTGGGGGCCCCCGAGAAACCAGCTGAGAAGAAACCAGAAGCAGCCAGGGAGGGGGGGCAGCCATGGGAACCACCTGGACAGCTGTACGATGCGTGTGCACACGCTTACACACACGTGCGTGAAAACCCTAACCCTGACCGACAGCTGTTGGAACCTTCCAGAACCAGACTGGGTCCGTGCCTTCTGAACTGGCTCTTTGCTGGCCTCCGACACACGCGAGCAGCCCCCGTGCTCCCCAGAACACGTCACGTGCTCGGTGCGATTTCAGGAACCCCAGCCGCGCAGGGGGGACACGTGAGATTCCGGGGACAAAGCTCTCTGTTTCCTTCATCTCGCTGGAACCCTCCCACTTCCGGAGTCACTGTGGGACGCGTGAGATTCCGGGGACTAAGCTCTGTTTCCTTCATCTCGCTGGAACCCTCCCACTTTCCAGGTGTTTCTGGCTCTTGACGTTGGGTGGCCGTCCCACTGCTTATCACCAGATGAATCCAGGCCCTACGGTGACCCTCTCTCCCTTTCACACCCGTCCACTGTGATGATACTGGAGTGAAATTGAACATGCATCACTCTTAACTCCAGACTGTTAGTTACAGACTATCACTTCAGAATGAAGTCTGCGGGGCACAGGCGACAGGTGATGGAGCTGTTTTGGAACCAAGTGTGCTGGGGCTGCTGCAAGGCCATGCTGACGAGGCCTAGTGGCCTGTCAACCCGGCGCACTTTCTAGGTCGCGGAAGGTGGGGCCTGGCCCGACCTGGCTGACTCAGGCTGGGGAAAGCATTTTTTGGTTCTGGGCTTTGAGCGTCCACACACTGTGAGGCACAAGATAGGTGTGGGTCATTTCACACGCTATGTGGGGACCAAGGGTTTAGAGGAAGGCACACCCTGCATCAGCCGGACTGTCAAAAGGCACAATGGGTGGCTCTGGAGGGGGTGGTCCCCAGGGCAGGGTGGCCCCTGGAAATGACACTTGTGTCGCCTCAGCAATCTGAGGAATGATGGTCAGTGGGTTCCATGTTTGGGCCTGCAGGGGCATCTCAGGGGCCACCCTGGTGTGTAGAGGGACAAAGCCGGTCTGCTTTGCTTTACACCCTGGAATTCTCCTGAAGACTCTGCTGACGTGCTCTTGAATGCATTTGTGGTTAAGAATGAAATAAAAACATGAAAATGACTAGTTTATAGCAGGTACCTTAATTTCAAGATCTCCAAACAGCTCTGTAGAAAAGAAAAAAACCTAAAGCAAAGAGGATATGTTTTTAATGTAAAAAATTTTTCTTTTTACCTTGATCAAATTTTGAAATTTCTTATTTTGTTGCAGCAACAACTTGTAATGACTGACTGCCTCGTTATGGCCACTACAAAACACACCATATTTTTCTTTCATTCTCTCCCCGTTTTCACCTGAAAACTGAAGAAAGACAGTGGAGATGTTATCGAAACGAAACACATAAAACTGCCAGGGAAAGGTTTCAGCTAGCTCGTCTGACTCTAAAATAAATACTGAATTCACTTGCGATTGTTCTTTCTTCTCTAACACGTACTCAGACGTGCTTTTATTTCGGGTGTCTCCTCGCAAGGTACAATAAAGGTAAAATGAGAAAACTTCCCGCTAATGGGCTTTATGACGTCCTATGTGCTGTGACGACTTCCTGAAATCCAAGAAAATACATGTGAGCTGAAGAATGCCAGAAAAATTTAAAAAGCAAAAATTTAAAAGCAAAATGGGTATCCATTCTAATGAGCTGACTCAGAAAGCTTGGAGCACTCTGAGGTCACACGCGGGGCTACGGGGCTGGCCCCTCTGTCAATCTTGGCCGAGGCACAGAAGTTGACTCGGAAGTCAATTCAGGGTCAACAGCCCTCCCACGAATGGCTCTCGTCCACGGATATGCTTCTAACAGGCAAAAACACAGGTGCCAAGACCAAAAAATATAGACCAACCAATCTAGGAAAAGCCCAGAACGCGACACGGACAGTTTGGACAAGCGCGTTTACTATTTAGGCCTCTGTGTTGCTAGATGATCAGGACCACTGTTCTTGGGGTGGGGAAGGAGTGGGCAGGGGAGGGTTCCTGGACCCAATTCCAATGTGCGTGTGTGGGTTTCCCCCCATGTCAGCAATTCTCAGACGACAGCAGGGCCTGATGATGTCTACCCCCAGATAGCATCAGATACCACAGGTTAAGGGTTTGGTCTTGCAAACTGCTCTCTCTCCACTTCAGACGCCAGCCATCACCTGTGCTCCTGCCTGACCGGCTGTATAGCAGAGGTTCCCAAGACCCCTTTCTTGGGTTCAATCAATTTGTTAGAGCAGCTCACAGCACCCAGAGAAACATGTTACTTACTAGGTCATTGGTTTATTATAAAGAACACAACTCAGGAACAGCCAGATGGAAGAGATGCATAAGGCCAGGTGCAGGGAAGGGTGCGGAGCTGCCACGCCCTCTCCGGGGACCTGTCTCCCCAAATCTTCAGATGTTCGCAACCTAGAAGCTCTCTGAATCCTGTCCCGTTGGGTTCTTACGGAGGCTTCGTTACATAGGCACGGGTGATTAAATCACTGGCCACGGTAAACTGATTCGCCCCCAGCCCAAGGTCAGGGGACGAGACTGAAAGGTCCAACTTTCTCATCACATGGTTGTCTCCCTTGGCCACCAGACCCTACCCTTAGGTGCTAAATAACAGTCACCTCATTCACGTAACCAGAGACACCTTTATGCTCTCATCGCTTAGGACATTCCAAGGCTTTTGGGAGCTGTGAGCCAGGAACTGGACAAAGACCAAACATATATTTCTTATAAACCACAACACTGCAGTGGGCCACATTCTCTCTGTTACTGGGAGGCACGCAGCCGGGGTGGGGGCCTGTCCAGGCCCTGCGCCCGTCCTGGCTGCGCCCACCTGCTGCACCAGGAGGTCCCCGATTTTCTGGATGATGTAATTCCGGTCACTGCCCTCCTCCAGGGACTCGTGGCGGCGCTCCTTCAGCCGAGAGAGGAAGTGGCCGTGCATCTCGAGCAGGTCGTCCGCGCACAGGAAGAGGCGACCGACGGCCTTGGGGCGGAACTGCAGCTCCTCCTGCAGCGCCCTGGCATAGACCTTCAGCATGATCTTCAGGGTCCGCACGTGGTGCGCCTCTGTCTGCATCAGCTCTGCGGGGACACGGACCACAGCACTTACGCTCCATCCCTCCGGTGGTCCACAGGGGCACTCGTGTGTACTGTCCGCCCACCACGTACCAGGCTGGCTACTCAGTTCTCTGCCAAAGTCCTCACCCTGTGGCCTTACTGCCCAGGTTCCAGTGCCTTGGGCCTTCATCGCCCTGCTTGTGGGGGTTTCTGGGGCCTGGAGGGACATGCATGGGGCACCCAGCACATCTCCTGGCCCAGGCTCCATATCTGGAGCTGTGGTTTTCACTGTATTCTGCAACGTCCCATCTCAGCATAGTGGCTGCCCATGGCCATGTTCTCTGATGGCCAGGAGGATGGGGTGCCCGTCACAGGGCTGGTGCTACAATCACATGTACAGAGAGGAACATGCCTCCAAATCCCCCAATCGCAGCCATGCTTGGGCCTGTCTGTGGTCACCAAGGACGGCTGGGATGGGCCAGGGCAGTCTTCTCTCTCAGGGTCACCAACAAGGTAAGCATGAGTCAGGCCTGGGCACCTGACCATACTTGTCCTTGGGGACCTCCCCAGCCACCTCTTCCCTGGCCTGGAAGGCAGGGCTGTCCTGGGGGAGCAGGGAGTGGGTGATAGGGCTGCACGGGGTGTCGGCAGAGGAGCCCAGACTCCCAGGTGGAGTAAATTTAAAAAAGGGACAGGAAGAGCAGCGGGGGGAGCCATGCCGAAGCGCCTCTCACCATAGAGCACATCCTGCCTTTTCACCGCCTCCCTCTTTTGCCTCTTTGCGTAAGCTGGCTCCACGCAGAGGCTCCAGGACTCGGCCTCGAACTCGTGGGCATCTGACTCAATCTCACTCTTCAGCGAGGCGGTGTAGGGGTCTGCAGGAAGAGCAAGAGGCCACTGCTCAGGGCCCACAGCCCGGCTGGCTCGGAGCTGCCCTGGCCTGAGTCCCCGGGACACATTGATGTGCATCCCAGCACTTCCCAAGGTAGATGGAGACCACGTGACTGTACCTTCTACAAAAACGGACTCGGCATTTGAGGACGTGAGTGAAAGGGAGTCATCAGTTGCCTGCTTAAATTTCAGAAATACGGACTCGGCTTCATCCATCGCTCCTGTGACTGGTCTAAATAAAAGTCATAAACGCATTTCAGAAAACTGAATTAAACGCAAGCACACACACATGCAGGCACCATTCTATGAAGGCGAATGAGGCTGTCTGTAATCAATCTGCTTAAATATCATTTGAGAACTTTTAGATTTCATGTAGGCCTCTACTTTGTCACAGATCATTTCTGAAAATTGGGAGACTACCTGTCAATATAACATCAGGACTTCTTCCAACAAAACTAACTTTAATGTTCGAATCCATTCTAAGGGTGTGTGAACCATATGCTTCCTTTACTGGCCATTGGTCCCCCGGGGAACTCTTTCTAGAAGGCGTCAACTCACTCGACGGCAGAGGGAGAATCCTTTCTAACGGAAGAAGACCACTGGCCCCTTTCCCACCCACTCCCACGAGGAGCACGGCGATGACACTCAGGGTCAGGCTTTCTCCCTCAACACTGCTGAATACGGCATTTAGAGAGCCACCTCCAAGTCTTTAAAAAACACTGCGTTGGGGCATAAATAGTGGGATGCAATCTCCGGGGCAACCTCAGCGGGACCTCCAGCCCCGAATCGAGAACAGAAAGGGACCCCGGCGAAGGGTCCTTCCACAGCATGAGGCAAACTGGCTCCATTGGCCGAGTCCACCCAGAACACAGCGGTTCTTGAAGAAGGAAAAGAAATGACTCTGAAATAAGTGTTAATGGGAATTTCACTGCTTGGTTGGGGGCCCACAAGCAGATTCACACGCCCGAGGGTCTCCTTTCAGAGAGGCAGTCGCAGGGTCCCCGCAGGACGCCAAACCCAGCCCCCTCCCCCTCTGTGCCTGGTGGCAGAGAGCAGGCCGGCTTACCCGAGTCGCGGCCCCGTTCCCGTTGGGCTGGGTGCTGGCTGAGGACCCCCCTTCTGCGAGATCGTCATGCCGACATTCCTGGACAGGGCCGGGCTGCCATCGGACAAGAGGGTGGCCCTCGGGTGCTCCTTCAGGGACGCTGCGACGGAGGCAAAGACAGAGTTGGTGCTGAGAAAGTGGGCAGGGCAGTGGAGGTGGCCTGTCCGGAAGCCCCGCTCTGACTGCGGCCGCAGCACAGACAGGACCTTGGAAGTGAGCAGCTCGTTATCCAGAAAGACATTCTCGCTCCATTTCCTAGGAATGGAGCCATAGAAGGACAGCTCGGGGTGGCTGTGGAGCGCGCCGTCTCTGTCGCTGCCTCTGGAGTGTGCGTTCCCCATGTTCGCAGGCTGGGCTCCCAGCCTGGCTGTGCGCCGTTTTTATACCTCCGCGGATCCTTCTAGAAATGCAAAGCTGCGTCTTCCCTTACTGTATTGGCTGAAGCAGCGGGTGTGGAGCGCAGGAAATTGGTCCCCACTGTGACCGCTCAGGGTGCAAATCACACCATATTTTTTCCTTTGTAAAACAACAGCAAAAACGTCCCGACACCCCTCGGCCTTAGCAGGGAGTCAGAGCAGAGCGCAGCTTCCGCTCACTGCGGAGAAGCTAAGATCACCAAACAGGGAGCCCCCTGCGCTCGGGCGTGGTTGGTGCCGACACCGTGCACGTGACGGCAACGCAGCCGAGACGGGGTGCCGGGGTGACTGAGACCCAGAGACTACGGGGTGTGGTGGCAGCCACACACGCCACGGTGAGAGAAGCCTGAGATTCTGGCCACCAGAGTAGAGTGGACGACGGGCTCTGACCCTATTTCAGACGGTGACTGCGAACCAGCCTAATATGCAGCGGGGTCCCCAGGGCCCTGCACGCTCATCTGCTCACTGACTTACGGGCCGGGCTACCGGGAAGCACGCGCCACCGACGGGAAGACACAGCGCTCAGAAAACTGAGCCACAAAATGAGGCTGGTCTCCCCCTCCTGTCTGACAACTCAATCTATCAACTCAAGCAACTCGAGCCTCGCTGAGCCAGGCTGCTTGGTGTCTTTATTCTCAGGGTGAAAACCACATCCGAAAGCTTTGCTCCAAGATCAACACTGGCATTAAAAAGAAACCTGTCCGGTGGCCTTCCTGACCCGGTCCTGGGTCTCCAGAGTGCCCGCTCCCCAGTTTCTCTGCTCTACACGAAGGCGGCAGCTGGAACTCCGGTTCTCAGCAACGGGGAGACTGTGGCCCTTAGGGTGGGCTTGGGGCTGGCCCTGGAGGAAAACGGCCTCTCTTCTGGGAGACGGGTACAGCACGTGGAGTAGGTTCTAATTCAGGTGGAAATTTAGGGGGGATGCAAGTGTGGAGGTGGGTATGTGTCTGAGAAAACGTTTCTGGGAGAGGAGTAACGAAGAAAGTTTGTGAACTGAGACTTGACCACTATGCAGTGTGATGCCATTTCACACACAGACACATACTAGGCAGCTATTCATTCCTTAACACAGCTCAGCACGGGGAGGATGCTATTTGGGTAGTGATTCCAAACATCGTGACATCATGATCATAAGTGGCTAACAATAACTATTATGGTAGACAAAGGTGCAGAGGCTGTTACTCATACACAAACCCCATTTACAAAGGCGAAAATCATAAAATAGAGGCCTTCACGGTCCAGCGCAGGCATTTCCTGCCATTTCGGCACCACATTAAACTCCACCCAGGCTATTATATTATGACCTGAGCGCACAAATATGGGATAGATTCTGAAATGCACCCTTTGCTCAGCATCCTGGTGCAACTGAGAGATTGTGCCTGTGATCTGAGGTCTTGTCTGAAGCGGGATGGATTCTGCTTTAATCAAATAGTCCACAGAAGAAAAAATCACCATAAACACTCTCTAAGAACCACCCGTTCCAAAGGTTAGGCACCTCTAACCCTTGCATTGTTCAGCTGTCAACCGTATTTATTTACTGTGATCATCATCTGTTTATCCAACAGAGCAGTGCCTCCACAAAACAGGTCAAGAAATCATTTTTTTCATGGAATTTTATTAAGCCATAAAAAAGGAAGAAAATTTTGACACGTGTAACGACATGAATGAACCTTGAGGGCACTGTGCTCAGTGAAATAAGCCAGATGCAGAAAAACAAATACTGCATGATTCCACTTATATGAGGTCCCTAGAAGAGTCAGATTCATAGAGATGGAACTTAGGAGGAGGGGGATTAGTGTTTAATGTGGTGTCAGTTTGGGAAGATGAGAACGTTCTAGAGACGGATGGTGGGGATGGTTGTACGGAGATGTGAATGTACTGATGCCCCTGGAATATACTCTTAATAATGATTACAGTGGTCCCATTTCATGTTATATATATTTTACCACTATTAAGAAAACGAAATGATTGTTTCTTTGGGTGGTAGCATGCTTCTGTATCTTGACTGTGGTGCTGGTTACTTAAATCTCTACATGGGGTATAATTTCAAAGAACTACACACTCCTCCCTCCCCAACAAAAGAGTACATGTGAAAACTGGCAAAATCTAAATAGGGTTTGTCCCCGAGTTAATAATATGGTACCAATATCAGTGTCTTGGTTTTGACAATGGACTATGGTTACATTAGATATCATCAATGGGGGACACTCGGAGATGGTACACAGGGACTCTACTGTTTTGCAATTTCTTATGACTCAAACTATTAAAAAAAAAGTTACAGTCGACTCTCATTACTGGCATAGCGATGTCCTATGAGGTCACAGAGACACTGAGTCGGTGAACAGCAAAACGCTGCTCGGGGGAGAAATCCAGGGCCCGGTCCCGGGGGCCTCTAGCCACCCTTTCATCAACCAGTTAGCACGTAACCTGTTAGGTGTGTCTCTCTGTTGGGTGACATCTGATTTTATACACACTGTCAATCTAGAAACACTGACCCCACGGCCAAGAGTACGATAATTTATGCCTGAAGGAAGTGTGTCTGTCACTTGTATTTTCTCCATTAGGCACATCACAGCCTTCTTGCTTGTTGGAACACTGGACACTACTTCAGCACCATGCTCGGTGGCCTTTTTAAACAGCGAGATCACCAAAAAAAGGGTAAAAAAAAAGAGAAAAGCATGGCACTAAATATTGCAAAAAGGGCACTTGCTCACAGCAGCTGCAACAGGGAGGCAGAGTGGCCCCTTATTCAGCCTTCGCTGGGCATGTGCACACTGGGTGACTCAATTTTTTGGCTGTTCTGCTCACATCTGTGAAAAACAATGAAAGCCCCACAAGTATTGATTTGGGGTTTACAAGTACATTTTAGTGAGTAGGGGAATTAATAGAGAATCCATGAAAAATGAAGATCGAATGCATATTAAAGAGTCTTAAATGAGAAGTTGTTATATGATAGAAGACCCTTATTTGCTCAAACACACACCATAGAGCACTGATATTCTTCATATTTCTTTATAATTTATTACACACACACTTCCAACAAGTATTTGAGATGGCCTTCTATTTGGGGAGTATTACTCAAAAGTTTAACCCTATGCCTTTGGTGGCAATGTGAACTATTGAGATAAATTATTCTTTTTCCTTTGGAGCAGTCTAACCACCATCCCCCTCAAGCTACTTAAGACTTAAAACAGAGATGGATGGCCACCCAGTGAGCCTTTCTGTAGCATACGCAGCCTTGAAAATAACTGCCTGACCAAGATGCGAACGAGTCAGTACCTCCGCCACGGACCAGTTGTATTTACCATGACTTTTTACTCTGTACTTTTGATGCTCTGATGTCTGGGGCCTCACTGACATGAAGGACTGCCCTGCCCCTGCCCCCAGGAGTAGCCAGCTCCCAGAGAGGGTAAGTATTCATCTAAGGAAGAGCTCCCTTCACGTGCAAACCGACTGACTCAGAGCCCACCCACACAGCAACCCCCCTGATGGAGCTCTCACACCCAGGGCCACCATCCGCCTGCCTAAATCATGACCCACCCCAGGGCCAGGGCCCACTGAAATTATTCACAAGCGTCAATTCTCATCCCGTTCGCCCTGCCTCACTCCTTCCTCCCCATAGAAACCACAATGCAGGCTCTTGCCCACCTTTTCTTTCCCCTCCCTCTGCCTCCTGACTGAACCTGGTGCTTCCCTGTGTGGCTCTGATACACACTACGATGGGGATGATCCTTGAAAATGAAGATATCATGCTGAGTGAAAGAGGTCAGCCACAAAAGACCACATATTGTAGACTCCCTCTACAGGAAATGTGCAAATCCATAGAGACATAAAGTAGATTAACAGGTGCCTAGTACTGGGGGACGGTTGGAGGGTGACAACTAATGGGTATGGGGTTTCTTTTTGGGGTTCTAAAATAGAATGCATTGACTCTGACTATAATAATGCTACTGAATTGTACATTTAAATGGATGAATGGTATGGTATGTAAATTCCATTTTAGTAAAGCTATCAAACAGACAAACCCTGCGAGGAACAGCCATCTTGCTGCAAGAACAGATCAAGCTGTTTGATTTGTAGTTCAACACACAGCACGTTAGTCATCGTGCCCTTGGCTGTGAGAGAGACAGAAACACACACTTATCCCGCTAACGTGTTTTCCTAAAGCAGACGGCCATGGTGGGACGCACGGGCAGTGGAGTGGCACTGAGACCCAGGTCCCAGAGTGGCTTCAGCAGAGCGCGGCCTGCCACCGTCTGTGCTGTTACAGAGCCACTTCAGAGTCTAATTAGCGCTGTCTGCCCACTGCTGTGGGGGCCATTGATTGGTGTGCACCAGTCCACCGTGGTGACTGTATGCCACAGAGCTGTTTCTACAAGGGGACCCGGAGGAGAGGCAGGGACAAAAATAAGAAATGAACAGTGAAAATGGAAAAAGTTCTTTGCCTGGAGGAAAAAACACACCCCATTCTCAGCAACAAACACAGAGGGCAGCCTGTTCTCATGATGATTTTTTTAAAGCCTATTTTCTCTTGGTTTCTTGAACTGAAGAGCAGTCTCCGAGCCGATGAGACGACTCAGCTCGTGTAACAGATACCAGGATTCTTCTTACATTTCTTTATTTGGACAACAGACCCCATACAATGCAGTTCGGGTTAATAGGGGCTACTTCCTAGTGTAGTAGC